CGATATTTAACATGGGGAAATAGATTCAATATGTGTAATGACCCAGCCACTCCCAGTCTCTATTCAAACCCAAGTTAATGGTATCTAGTTTGCATATTAATTCAAGCTCAGCAGTTTCTTGTTGGAGTCTGTTTTTGAAGCTTTTCTTTGCAAAATTGCCGCCCTTAAATCTTTTACTGAGTGGAAAGGGAGGTTGAAGTGTTCTCCTACTGGTTTTTGGATGTTATGATTCCTGATGTCAGATTTGTGTCCATTTATTCTTTTACATAGAGACTGTCCGGTTTGGCCAGTGTACATGGCAGAGGGGCTTTGCTGGCACATGATGGCATATATCACATTGGTAGATGTGCAGGTGAACGAGCCTGATGGCGTGGCTAATGTGATTAGGTCCTATGATAGTGTCACTTGAATAAATATGTGGACAGAGTTGCATTGGGCTTTGTTGCAGGGATAGGTTCCTGGGTTAGTGTTTTTGTTGTGTGGTTGATGGAGAGTATTTGCTGTACTGGTCAGTTTCCCAAGATCTGTGAGAGTGAGGGATCATTTTTCAGGATAGGTTGTAGATCTTTGATGATGCACTGGAGAGGTTTTAGTTGGGGACTGAAGGTAACAGCTAGTGGCGTTCTGTTATTTTCTTTGTTGGGCCTGTCCTGCAGTAGGTGACTTCTGGGTACTCTTCTGGCTCTGTCAGTCTGTTTTTTCACTTCAGCAGGTGGGTATTGTAGTTTTAAGAATGCTTGATAGAGATCTTGTAGGTGTTTCGTCTCTGTCTCTTGGGAGTCCTTGGAGGCCATCTGTATCCAGGAAGGCAAGCAGGGCAAGCTGTTACGTATAGGGTAGCCTCATGAAGTTTCCTTCCCCCAGCTTGTGACTTTGCTTTCTTCTGTCCAGTGCTCCCTCTTCCTGTCTGGCTCTCTCTGTTGCTGTTTGTTTTGTGGTTGGTAACTTTCCTTCCCCCCACAACTCTGCACCCTCAGAGGATGGGTAAAGCTGGTTTTCCCCTAGGATGCATCCATTTTTTAGCATAACTTTTGTGTGATCAAAGCATGATCATTAACATTAAGTATGCCCCATTGTGTCTTGCCTGGTGTGTACCCACTGCAGGTTCTGTCTGAAGTGGAGGATTCGCATATATCTGATCTATATCGGTATTCATGATAACAGCAGTTTTCATAGTAACATTCCATAACTCCACAAATCAACCAGAATTCATAACTTGTACTAGACAGTTTCCCCAATCACCACCCCCATGGTGAGTATCACTGATCACTGAGTATCATTTCATTTAAACAGTAAATTTGGATAAGGAACTAAATTATTGATGTGGTACCAACCGTAGGGCCCAAAAGCCATCTCCATATAAAGACAGTGGGCATCTGTCTGATGAAAAGACACTGTGTTCTTGCAGATCTTATCATAGAATGTATGAGGTTTGTCCATTCAAAGGTAGCCACCAACTTTGACTGAGTGATCTCCAGCTTCTGGTGGAGGAGATAAGTTTCTTAAATGTATACCTTAATCACCTAGCTCTATAGAAGCTGCCTTCTTAACGTGGAGATTTCTGAAGAGCTGTGTTCTCTTAAGATAAATACTCAGTGCTGTAGCCCACCAAGTTAGGCTACTGTGTTTTAGATTCAGAGAGGAGGAAGGCAGAATGATATTGTGATCTGTGAAAATAAGTGAGTGGGGATGCGGTCATTGAAAAATACAGTGTTTGTGGCTCACTGACAACTCACGATCCAGAATTCTGCTGGTCAACTTGATTATTGTGAAGAATACAAATAGAGAAAATTATTCAGTCCTGAGGTTCAAGGGGAAGAGCTAGTCTTTGCAGAACCAAACTCAGTTTCTAAGTATAGAAAATGTAACTGCTTTATTTTTTCAATTCTATAACTTTTTACCTTTTGCTTAGAAAGGAACTAATTGGAGATGGTAGGAGAGACCCCTGCTGCTAGAGTTAATAGTATCAGAGTTTTGATATAGGAGTTTCCACAAGTCACAAGAACCTAGGAATATTAGTCTCCTACTGTTTTCAGAGAATAAGACTTACAGGGAAATGATTGTACTCAAGGTGCCTAACCCATCTCACTGCCCATGCCGCTGCAGGTACTCTTCTATTTTTAGTGTGTTCAAACCTAGCACACATACATCTACCTGAGCTGAAAATAACACCTCCAGCTTGAGTGTGTTCTTTACATCTATAGCACCCAAACCAGTGGAGAATTATTGGCCCTCATCAGTGAAGTAAGTAGTCAAAAATATGTATTTAGAGGACTGTTCCTGTTTTCCAGTATTCCACATCTGCTAGTTGTGCGTGTTTAACAATTCAAATAACTCCTACTGGCATCTGTGATATAGGGTAACAGTGAAACAAACACTTCTTGTCAGATAAGGTATCTTGAAACACAGCTCCAGTTGCTTTTTATATGGAAATAATTGTGTTGTCGTGCAGCTTCTGCTGCCCCCTTTCCCTTCTAGAATATTGAGAGAATTCGGGCAGGAGGCATAACTTCTCTCTCTACTCCAGAAGTCAAAGGTGAAAAAAGTTTTAAATAGACCAGCAGTTCTCAAACTGTTTTAATGGGGTCACCAGGGCTGGCATTAGCCTTGCTGGGGGCCAGGGCTGAAGTGGAGGCCCAAGCCCCACTGCCTGGAGCCAAAGCCAAAGCCCAAGGGTTTCAGCCCTGGGTGGCGGGACTAAGGTTACAGGGCCCATTCCTGGGGCTGAAGCCCTTGGAATTTGGCTTTCCCCCCACCTCCATCCCCTCCCTCACTCAGGGCGGTGGGGCTTAGGCTTTGGCTCCCCACTCCTAGGTTTGTGTAGTAATTCTGTAGATAGAAGGGGTGCAAGAAAGTTTGAGAACCCTTGAAATACACCAAAACTGGTCCATTGCTCATGATCCCCACTTCAGAGTGATGGCGGTAGCTCCAGCTATCCTTTGAGTTCTAGTCTTGGCATTAACTTTAATTCTCTCTTCTCTCACAGGGAATGTCTAAAAAGTGACTTAAGATGCAGGATAAGGATAGCAATAGCATTTTGTTTTTCCATCTGGTTCAACAAGCAGATGTGATTCTAGTTTCAGGCAGACTGCCCTTGTCCTGCTTTGACACACATTCAAGTAACTTCATTAGCTGCCAAGTTGATAGTTTATTTTCAGAGTGGAAGGGGATTTCATTCAAAGATCAGTTTACACAGAGACCAGAAGCCATACTCCTTTTAAGATCCTCACAACATAATAAGTGCCACACTTCATTCACATCAAACTGAGGAGACGTACAACCCATCTTTCAGCCAAGGCTGGAAGCCATTTGATGAATACATACATCACTCACAAACACTATCGTGTCAAGTACATTTGTGCTTCCCTTATATTTTTGGTCTTTCAAATCACAGTTTGTGGCAATAGAGCGCAAGGAATAGTCTCAACATAAATGCACAATTCCCAATTTTACAGTACAGCGTAAGTGTAAATGTGGCAGCAGTTTGCAGATTTGTTGGTAAACTTTATTAATTTTTTTTATGAAGAGCGTTTAAAAAGAATCTGTCAGGAGCCAGATTCTTCTTTGTTATACGTGGGCCATGTCCACACAATGGGTGCTGTAGAGGCACAGGTTCAGCACCACAGCTGTGTCGCAGTCGGGGAGATGCCTCCTGCAGTGACAGAAAGGGGTTTTTCGCTCACTGCAGGAATGCCGCCTCCCCGAGGAATGGTTGCTGGATCAACGGAAGCATTCTTTTGTCAACCTAGCTGTGTGTAGGGATTAAGTTGGCAGAGCTACAGCGCTGAGGGGCAGGAATTTTTCACACCTTTGACAGACATAGCTATAAAAACAAGGAGGAGTCCGTGGCACCTTAAAGACTAATAAATTTATTTGGGCATAAGCTTTCGTGGGTAAAAAACCCACTTCCTCAGGTTTTTTACCCACAAAAGCTTATGCCCAAATAAGTCTGTTAGTCTTTAAGGTGCCACCAGACTTCTCGTTGGTTTTGTGGATACATACTAAGCCGGCTACCCCTCTGATACTCAACATAACTATGTCAACCTAACTTTTAGGTGTATATCAGGCTTTGGTACAAAAAAGGTGAGTCACTCCATTTTGACTTCCATGGAGTTATTTTGCATTGGCACCCGTATAGAAGTATAATTGGGTCCGGACTGTGGGCATTTACAACTAAAGACATTATGTGAAAGGAGGCCACGTGGATTTTGGGCCATGTATGGTTCTTGCATCTTCTCTGACTTTGTGGGGTGAGTTGGTTAAGGATATGGAGTAACGCTGGTACAAACTGATGTAGCTTTACCACCACCTCCTTGGACAGCTACTATTGATGGGCAACACCTTCTGAAGACATTTATACTATTGTATATATTCAGTTGTAAAAAGTCACCCAGATAGGTGCTTTAATGAAACTGAAATAAAGCAATCCAAAGTGACCCCAGTGAAATCCATGGAGTTACTCTGGGTTTACATCACTGAAACTGAGATTAGAGTCCGACTCCCTAATAGCAAAATGATGAAATCTCTATTTTTGGAAAGCACATGACTATGCCATAACCTCAGTTAGGACTTGCAGAATTGGATTTTTATTTGATTGTTTGTAATTTTGGTGGATAATAGCCATGTTTGTTTTTAAGCATTTTTATCTATTTACATTTTCACAGTAGTGGGATATTATGGGGTAGTGCAGATAATTATTTAATGACAGTAGACACAGATTCAAGAAGAAAAGCTTTTTTTATTAAAATACAAATTGTCAACATCACGTCAAAATATACAGAGTTTGATTTAAGGATATTACTTTAAGTTCTCAAGCAGCATATTTGTTATGTTGCCACTCTGTACATTTTAGTTTTTAATCAATGGAAATATTTGTCGGTTTGTGTGCGTACAGTGAAGTTTGTTTACCGATTAAATCTAATCCTTCCAAGCCTAACTTTAGTATTTCTAATGGTTTCCTTTAAAAATCCTTTGAGATTTTTTTCTTTGCCCATTTTTAGGTACCGTAGTGAGAAGATGACCATGAGCTACACAGAGTACCTTGCCCATCGACAGCATCATCACTTCCAAAATGGCATTGGGCACCCCCTTCCACCATACAACCATTATTCCTGACACTGAGCCACATGACCAGTCACTGGACCTCTCTGCAGACCTCTTCCCAGGAGACCCCGCCCCTTCCTGGTCTAGCTATCTCTATTACTGTACCATTTTATGATGATAGTTTCCGTTGCCATGTTGACGCTTCTCCTTGGTTGGAGAAGTTCATCGTGGCAACGGGTGAGAAAACTGCATTATTACGAAGTTCCCATAATTCTTTTTTATTGAGTCACTGCGGGGTTTTTTTGCAGCATATATAACCCTTGTGTTTTTTATAAAATTTGAAATTTATACTACATTAACATTGAATAATATCAATCAAGGTTTTCTGTGACTGTGGATGGAAGGAAGACTTTAATGTTTAAGGGTTACAATTAGGGATATCCTTTTTTAGAGTAAGACATTTGTTGCTGTTGCATTAATAGTTGTAACAGGGAATGAAACATATCAGAGATTCAGGTATTAAGTATACATTCCCACCACTGTAGTAAAAGCTCTTTACTTCATGTAGTTAAATACATGAGCTTCAGATCCAGTACTTACAGACAGAATTTGAAGGGCAATATTTCAGATGAAGAGAAGCTGTTGTACCTAGCATAAGAGGCACTGATGATAGGAAGTATTTCAGGATCGGTTGGTCTAATTGATTACAGACTTAAAGTGCCTGATCCAGCAGGGTACTAAGTGCCCTCAACTCATATTCCATTATGTGGGAATTGAGGGTATTCTGCCCTTCTCAGGATCAGACACCAAAACAGTGTTTGTAATGCAAAGAAGAGACGTCGTTCTGATGTTCTCAAATTAGGAGTCACTTTTGTTTTAATAATGGTTGGTGAAGAGGCAATGTTATATTAGGAAGAAATGGATTTAGATTTTTGTGCCTTTTGTGTAGGACATAAATACAGTTACATAAAAATCATAGGAAGAATATTAAAAGCACCAGATAGCTTAGCAAACCACGCTCAATTCTCTACTGATCTAGTGTCAATTATGTTTTAAACTGGGGTTCTTTTGAGCAAGCACATTGTGAAAGAATTTCTCTTCTCTCCTCATCATATTCTTTCTTTTTAGTTGTGGGTTTCCTAAGTTGTATTAGGTCATGATTAGCCAGATAACAATTAACTGTTGTTTTAAAAAACAGTGTGGGTGTTGGAGAAAGAGCACAGGACAAATATGCCATGATTTCAGATGGCTTCATCTCTTACAGGAGCAGTCCTGGAGAGTTGTAAGTACTGTGAAATAGTTCTGGTAACATTTCTGCACTAAGAAGAGGTAGAAATTCATTTAGTGTATTGATCAGAATTTTTTGTTGTTGTTACAGCTGTAGTAACGGAGATGGGATTTATAAAAGGTATGTGTGGTAGAGTAGCAAGACCTGAACATTTTGTAATATGTAATATGAGGCAGGTTTTGCTGGTTAGTTTTAAGATAGAAGGTCTTTGGGATTCCTTCATCCACAGCATCTGATGTCCAAACACTTTCAGTTGTGATGCCTTAATTTATAAGCAAACAAAAGGGCCTGAAAATTCAGTAGCCAAGAGAGATGCGAAGTGGACACTGCAAAAATCAATAGATGTTTATATAGAGGATATTTTGGAGGATTCTATTGTCTTGTTTCTACTTGGGGAACATTTTAAAGTGGATTAGCTTTTAAGTGGAAACTGTAAACAAGTGGCTACTTGATTGAAAGGTTTTTTTCTTGCCCTTATAGGGAAACTGAGCACAAGCTGAATAATATTGTCTGCTGCAAAAAAAAAAAAAAAGGTCATTTACCCCATCTTTACCCATCATCTCGTTACAGCATGCTCATGCTTCTGTATGAGCTCATTGTTAGAAGTTTTTTAAAAAAAGATTATATATAAAAATATATATGTATTTAAAGGTGCTAATCAACCTTGAGCAGGTCACGTGACTGGTCATGCGGACTCTAAAATCATATCAGATTTTTTAAAAATCCTCAATATATGCAGATGTTATACAGAATTTCTTACCAGTGTAATAATGATATACTGATGAAATAAACAATCCTGCAGGTTTTGAAGGACAAGGTCAGCAATACTTCCCATCATGGCTTGGGGGGAAAAAAAAGGATAGTTTTGTCTCCTTTTTGTACACAGCATAATGCACAATGAATTTTTGTCTATCTTTCAGTAGCTGTTGCTTAAAAAGAATAGTTCTAAGAGTGTTATACAAATTGTAAAGGTGTGCTTTAAAATCAATTAATGCCCAGGCCCTTCTGGACCAGTGTCTTGTGTCATTCATTAAAAAACTGTTACAGATATATGGGTCAGTCAGTCAGTTTTATAGGAGATATGTAGAAATACACTGGTTTTTCATGCTTAGAATAATCAAATCTATCTACTATGTTTCTGGGGCACCTATCTCCTCGATGTGTAAGTGCTGAGAATGCTGTTTATTATGTTTTTTATATACTTATGGGTATATTTGAATAAACTTGCATGTATTTCACTCAGACATGCCCTGGGACAGAATAGGTCTGTTTTTCTAAACCTGATCAAGAATAGCGTGTGAAATCAGTTTCATGAATGTTCTTATTTAACTACACTAATAGCCTTTTAGATATAGCTCAGTGGAAATATTTTTATGTTGGGTATTTTCACTGTTTTTTTTTAAGTTAACATTTTAGCTTCCGAGAAACACTAATCAGTTTGCTTTATTCCATTTTAAAAGACTTTAATTGTCACTTTAAAGTCTCTTCCTCAGATCCATGTGCTATTATCTGAGTTAGACAGCAAGCCCCTCTAAGTGTTGCTCCGTCATGCTTCAAGTGGCCTTCCTTCTGGCCCAGATTGTGCTATCGCACTGACTTCCCCCACAGTGCTAGACACAGTAGTTGGAGGGCACAGTAGTGAGTTTGGACCTGGTGTATGAAGTTCATCAGGGCAATTGATGTGGCACACCCTGACATTTGTATATGGACCTCTTTACTTGTCTTCAAATGTGCGGGTTTTTCAAACTCTTGCCTGGAGTAGGTTACATCTCTTGTGTGTGTTAGATCGAACCAAAGAAGCCTCCAGCCATGCACACATGCTGCTCCTAAAGCCTGCCTTCCAGTCCTTACAAAATCCCTGCAGGGTTAAAGGGTAACTTTTTTATTTTTGTACAGTTTCTAACTGATTTTTGCTAGTGATGTTAATGGAATTAAGTTTATTTGAGGAGTCTGAGTACCTCCTTCATTTAAATAAACTGGTGACTTTCCTTTTATGTTAAAAATAAATATAGAAACCCAAAGTGTGCCTCTCAGATTTAAGGGTTTCTGGTTACATTTTTTCTTATGACCAGCAATGATTCTTTATATACAAAGATATGTTCTCCTTGTTTTTTATTACTGTTAAAGAAAAAAATAAAAACCTCTTTCTTTGCTCTGGATCCAGTAACTGCGCTGGTACATAAACGCACTGAGAAGACAAACTTTTGTTTGAAACTTTTGTAACAACTTATGACTGTTTTTGTATATCAAAGTTGATTCTTTTCAAAATATTTGGATCTAGTTTCTAAGTTATTTTAGTGTTTTATATGTTATGAAAAAAATTACTTTGAATTGTTCACCAGCATAATGAGTTATCTTGAATGCAATGGTGACACATTACGGGCTTTGAGCTACCTGGAGTAGCTTACAGGGCCCCTATTTTTCCTTCCTTATTAGTAACTTGATTATTGATTACAATAATATCACAGATTACCTGAACCCCCTTCCATTATAACTAGATCCTCCCTTCCAACATTTAATTGCTATTAGTGTGAAGAAACTGTTGAAATGGGCATTTTAATATGAGTATGGCTTAAAAAAGGTAAAAATGAGGAAAAAAACAAAAAAAATATAGAAGGTTATCTGTGGGTCTGTGAGATATGGCTGTGGAAAGATATTGTAGTAGTTTTAACACTATTGTTCTTACCTTTTAAATCATTTACCCAATAAAATAAGGAAAAAGAATCACCATTTCCTGTTTTCATGTTTCTTTGCTAAATTGTGTGGCCAGCTCAGTTACTTTTTTGAACATTTGAGAGTTCCAAAAAGGAATTTGGATTTTAATGATGTATTTGGAGGTACATTTTGTTCTAAATGAAGTCAGTCTGTTCATTTTCCCAGCTAGAGCAATAAATTGGGCATGAACCACTTGGTATTTCTGTGGCAAAAGAGAAACTGACAATCTAACTGAGAAGTGATGTCACCTGCCTAATATGTAACACTTCAGTTCCTTCAGAGCTCGATTTACTGAGTGTATGCCCCTTCCATTGATTTCAGTCACTTTTAAATCAAATCCACGAGGGAGGGGTCTGGTCTTTTATATAGAGCCTTCTTGTTGCAAAACCAGTCATACTGGTACAACTGCTGCTATCATTTATATAGTACATATTGGGGAGATGTGACAAAACAGTATAAAACTCAGGAAATGAATACACAGAGTATTGAGTATGTAACAAACACCATAAATCCCACCTAAAGTAGAATTGTAGGCCTGGAAGGGACCACAGTAGGTCATCTAGGCCAGACCCCTGCACTCACGGCAGGACTAAGTATTATCTACACCAGGGGTCAGCAACTTATGGCACATCTGCCAAAGATGGCACAGGAGCAGATTTTTAATGGCATGCTCAGCCCGCTGCCGAACCCAGGCCAGGACCCCACCAGGCAGCAGCGTGCCATTAAAAATCCTGCCCGCCCCTGCCAGCTGCTGCTGCAGAGCAGGCAAGCTCCCTCCTTCCCTCAGCATGCTGGGTTCCTGCCCCTCCTCCTCTCCCTCCCTGCTGCCGATCAGCTGATGGCCCTTGCGCAGAAGGGGGAGAACCAGAGCCACAGCGCTCCGGGGAGGAGAGGTGGGGACAGGTCCTTGGGGAAGGAGGGTGGAATCAGGGCATATACCCTACAGCCCCCTACTGTGAGCTGCTCAGGGCAGGGGGCTGGGAGCGACCCCAGCCCTCTGACCTGACCCCTGTACCCCCCTACAACCCCAGCCCTGACTCCAGCACACACCCCCAGCCCCCTGCCCTTACTCTTGCACCCCCCCACCCCATGTCCTGACCCTTGCACTCCCCACATTCCTACCCTGAGCACCAAACAGGAGCTCCTGCACCCACATTCCCACCTGCACCCCTCATACCAAATGGGAGCTGCCAAGGTAAGCACTCCACACCCAAACCTTCTGCCCTAACCCTGAGCCCCCTCCCCCATTCTAGCTCCTAGCCAGACCCTACACCCCAGCCCTGTGCTCAGTGCACTCCCACCCTCAGCTCAGTGAAGAGAGAGAGGAAGAGAATGGGCTAGAACCAGGGAGAAGGTAGGTACGTACCCACTCTGCGTGGGCAGGGCCAGGATCCCAGACTGGCAGCAGGCTGAGCGGGGCCAGCAGCCGGGACCCTGGCTGGCAGGAGCCAGCGGAGAGAACCCCAGACCGGCAGTGGGCTGAGCCAGCCAGGGTCCTGGCCGCAGGCCCCGCTCAGCCTGGGTGAACAGAACCCCAGGCTGGCAGCAGGCTGAGCGGGCCAGCGGCGTAAGATCAGCATTTTAATTTTAAATGAAGCTTCTTAAACATTTTGAAAACCTTGTTTACATATGACAATAGTTTAGTTATATAATATATAGATTTATAGAGAGACACACCTTCTAAAAAACATTAAACAAGGGCACGCGAACCCTTCAATTAAAAGTGAATAAATGAAGACTCAGCACACAACTTCTGAAAGGTTGCTGACCCCTGATCTACACTATCCCTGAGGATCTAGATAGTGATCAGTGTACATTCATTCTCTTTCCCCACATCATTTCAAAAGAGATCACTTGCAGTGTTACTAGTCTTGCTTAAGTCCTCAACTGGTTTGTTTCACATTGTGCTAGTACAGAGTACAACTTTGATCACATTCCACAGCAAGGGTGAGTGTATGTAAAAATTCCAGCTACCCCGTAAATTTAATTCCTTTCATTTATATAGTTCATGTAAAAATGATGCTGCCCCTCCTATGTAGCAGATGGGATTTGGCAGTTGTGGGGAGACTATGCATTTCTTTCCGCAAAATCCTTGACCCCAAATTTGGGTGACTAAAATTAGGAACCAAATCCATTGAGAACAGTGTGCTCAGAATCCTTGCCAATCGGATCACTCTTACAGAGGTGTCTTCTGTGGATTTAGGTGCCCAAATGTGAAAATTTGGGCTCGTTTGTGTAGCTTTTGCATGTATGTCAATAGGTGGCTTTGTAAAGACAAGCTATTGGGCTAGACGTCTACACTAATACCCCAGAGGATGTTCCCCTCACTGTACTCCATACAGACGCTCCCCGGGTTACACAAGAGCTGACTTACGCAAATTTGCACTTACGTAAAAAGTTCCGTAAGCTAGAAATAGGAGTCTTTGGGGCTTTTTGCATAACATTCAGGTATACGTTTCCGATTTACGCAAAATTCGAGTTACGCAAGGCTTTCCAGAACAGAACGATTGTGTAAGTCAGGGAGCATCTGTATATTGTGGGATTCAATTTTCTTGATGGTTTAAGGTTTCTCCCCATTTTTGGAGATTGTCTACTTCCCACTTGTAGTGCTCAGAGCACCAGCTGCCCACAAGGCAGAAAGTAAAATTTACATATTCTGTAATTTTTCCTTCTAAGTGGACTCCATGAGACCCCATCCAAAGTGTCCAATTTTGCATTAAATTCCAGTTGAAGAGGAACTCTCAATCCTTCCTTTTTTCCCCTCCCTGAGTATTCCTTCAGAGAGGGTCAAATCTTGGGATTCACTCAAATTGGGATCTGACTTTGCCACAAGTCTTCTTTCCACTCTTTGTCTAAAAAAGTAAGTAGATACAGTCTCCTGCCTGGCAATACTAATATTTTATGTTTAATAATCAGAATGTATAGTTTGTCTTCTAAGTTTGGGGAGTTACAGGTCTCTGAACAGCACCACCTGTTGGCTGTACATTGTACAGCTAGAGAGTTTTAAAACAAAGACGCTTCTTGCACTTGGAAGACTAGGAGAAATAACCCAGTTGTAATGGATCACAGAACATGGTGCCAACTTCAGAGAATGAAAAATTAGATAAGTAAATTTTACCTTTTTGACATCACTGTAGTACTTTCAAAATTGTGACTAATAGCATCAAGCAGCAAATCTGTTTTTAATACTTTATTTCTATGAAGGATAAATCTACAGTCTGAACTGTACCTTAAAGCTGTTTAATAATCCTTTCCCCAACTCCTGGCAGTTTTACATCTTGACATTCTGCGTGAAAGCTTTGGAGGTACCCTTTAGCTGGAAAAAAAAAAGTTTCTTAGAAATTTCCTCTCTGGTGGGGGGCATGGGTGTGTCTTGGGGAAGTAATGGAGTGATCGTGATCTGGGCACAGGCAGTTTGGGGAAAGTAGTCATTAGATTGGTAAAAAAGCCTTTACACATTCACTTCATCACTAATACACAGGAATTGACTTGTTTTGATTGCTGTTGCTAAAGTAAAAAAATCACTCAATGCATGCAGAATACTAAGCATTTTCCTCTCGTTCTGCCACCCATATATATAGGTAATGCTCTGGCAATCAATCCCATCCTTAACATACCTGACTAAAGCTTCCATCTTGGCATTTATCAGATTTTGTCACCTGTATAAAGGCATGTTTACAAAGTAGTAGTAGTGAAGTATGTATGCTTTTCTATCCTGCAATACTCAAGTAGAGAGCCACTCTCCTTTTCCCCATGGTAATATTCCCAAATGGAGCATGGTGCATTCCCAAAGTGTGATGGATTCATGGGTGGCTATACCTACCAATGAAAAAATCCCCATACCTTGATCACTGCTCCAGTCTATGAATCAACTTGCTTTTCAAAAAATCTGTGGTACTGTGAGCTAAGGCTGCGGTTCTTGGGTGACAGATTAAAATTGACAAACATTTGCTATTAAAACAAATATAAACAATACAATTGATTGACAATTATAGCTATGTCACCTATTGGTAGGGAACAATTTGATTAAATTTAGCCCCTTGTCCGAGTTTTTATTCAGACTTCTAGCTTAGTAAATTAGTTTGCCTCTCATTCACAGAGGTAGAAATCTACTCTGGTGGCTTGAGCTGTGCTTTCAAGTTATTAGCGCCAATGGTTTCAGTCTTCACACATTGTGACTGGTCATCCCAAGACATAGTATTGATTCTGCTCCTTGATTGGATGAAACCCACAGCTCATGGCCTCTATATACTGTTTAATATATATGTGCACGATTTGTCACTTTCCTTTTCCATGAACACCATTTGCAAGTTATATGGTAGCCTGTCATAATGATACTGTTCATGGGATTGAAGTAAAGATGTTAAACAGCTTTTGCAATCAAACCACTGCTGGTCTGAAGTGTAGTTGATCACAGCACTCATGAAGTGTGGGGATTTTTTTAAATAAAAACCTGCTAATTAGGGCTCGATGTCATCTGTAATGACAAACTAAAAGTTAGGACTTACCTATCCACTGCAGTTGAGCAGCAGTGACAAAATGTGCAAATATTGCAGAATAAAAGGTCCAAAAGATTGTTTTAGGTTGAAACCTGTGCATATTCTGTTCCATACCTTGTAATTCTTCTGAGACTATTGTGAAATATTGGCATGACAGTACAGAAAATTAGGAAGAATGCTCTGCCACTTCAATGGAGAGGGTGTTGAGGTAGGCAGAGTGTAACTAACAAGACATGTACAAAGTTTTCAAAAGCATTTTCTTCATGGGTGAAGATTTGAAAGTAATCTCCTGCCACCTGTACCTTCTACCCACCACTTGTGGGTAGGGGAGGTTTAAACAGTGAATAGAGAAGAAGGAGTACTTATGTACCTTAGGTGTGGTTTCATCTCTCTCCTTTGTGCTCTAGTGTAGGAAGGGATGTAGTGGAAGATGTTCAATTTTCTTGGCTATGATTGGTTATAATCAGGCAACAAGATTGTTCAGGTAGGCTCAGGACCTGGCATAGCTAAAATGATGACAAAACTGCTCCCACACACAGTTGAAGGTATTTATTCCTTTAATTAAAGATTTAACAACTAATTGCCCAATGAGCAGGATCTCAGTTAGGGACCAACAAAAACAGACCAAAATACAAAAAACCAAGTACACAAATATACCCCTTATCTGCAAATGTTACCTGATAACCAAGTTTTAGCACATTAAAAAGGTTACAAAATTTAGAACACTTTTACAAATTACTTTGAACTAACAGCAGAGGTGGCAGCTGAGTGCCCACATTGGTCCCTGTCCCTGCCCAGGATAATTTGATGGTTGGAACCAAGGGCGGGATAAGTTTCCAAAGACAGCTTTGTGCCTCAGCTCAGTGCATGTAGCAATTCCAGATTCCTGGCAGAGCATGGCTGGCAACAGCATTGTGGGTGCACTCACCACTCTACTTGCCGCATTGAGATAACTATGACTCAGAATAAATGCAAAAATAAAAAAGGTATAAAATTGACCCTCAAGAAAAATAAAGCCATTTTAAAAACAGCTCGGCTTTAACTAAACAACGCTAAGCAGAAAAACAGAGTTACAGCAATATCACCTTGAGCACAAGGTCACAAAAGAACTGTTTGTTATGGATCTCGTCACTGTAATTAGCATAAAACACAGAAAGTAGTTGTGTTTGTCTTTACAAACATACCTGCAGCATTTCTGCTTACAGACTAATACCAGATGCTTACCTTGTTAAAACTAGGACGACTAACTTTCCCAATGTATGCTGCAGCTCTCCTTTATCCCCCGTCTTTTAAAATAAAATTGTGAAAAGTTCACCTAGTAAAACGACAAATGCAATTGGAAATAACTGCAACAAGAAAAAATGCACATCTATATTTTTCTCCTCACGTAGTTACAAATGACTAGGAAACCAATGCCTGTGATTTATAGACGAGACTTGGGACACAGAATCAAGTACTTAACTGCAAATAGCCGTTTCTGAGAGGGAAAGACACTTAGGTTTTTACAAAACATTCAGTTATCAAATATACAGAAATATCAAAACCCTGATTGAGGCTACAGAGAGAGGGGAATATATCTACACTGAGGTACTCTAAAACCATAAAGTGCACAACTGAACTGACTGCTCATGTCTCCCAGCTTCAGCAAAGCGCTCTGCCTACAAGCGGCATTTGTCAAGCACTAAGAAGTCAAACTAATACCACGTCTAGGGTGTATTTGGGGGCTATGGCCTTACATCCATTTATTTATATGTATATTGGACATGTTCAGAAAAATTTTTTTTTCTTCTGAACATGACTAAGAGCTGTTAATCTCCAGTTTATGAGAGAAACAAGATGCAAATTTATCTTTGGTTTTTAAAGTCCAATGCGCTTAAGCAGAAGATGGACAAAAATAGATCAATGGTAAAACACTGCAGAGGTGTGTCTAAACCTTTGAAAAATAGCACTAGCTGTGTCTTCAGACTACAGAAAGCCTTGGCACCAGAATCCATTACCATGCACTGACTGCTGCCCAACATTACATGGGGGCAGAAGAGTTACCATCTTTAGTTCATGCTTCTCAGCCTGAGCATAAACAAACTGTGTGATAAGTAAACAAGTTAACTGTAGCTACTAACAGCTCCTCCTGTAGAGTAGAGAGGAGATAAGGGCAGAGTTTGGTGTGCTCAGAAAGGCCACCTCCATTGATCAGAGCACCATGTTGCTAAATAGTTGGAGCTAGCTTTTAAAGACACAATTTTACCCTCAACATACACAAAGTTCTCCACTGATGGGGAGACACCCCCAAAATAAGGATGCACTTGATAAACAGAGTTCGCTTTAGTTTGGGATTGACTCCATTGGCACAAAGCCTAGCCAGTCACATCTGTCAGGGATGGTCTATTAGCCCTGCCTCAGTGCAGGAGACTGGATTAAATGACCTATGGAGATCCCTTCCTGTCCCTCACTTCTATGAGTCTGTCTCTCCTTTCTAGGCTTCCCTCTCCCGCTCCTGTTTTATTAAAATAAACTACAATATTCAGGCTCCCACCTGACATGTCACCTGCTTAAAAATGGAAAAACAATAATATTAAAGACCACAAATTATTTTCCTGTCGCTGGAGTTCTGAATACAATGGAGAATAACCTTCTCCGGGTGAAATGTTAGCTATCAGCACCATGAGTGATTTTTCCCTGGTAGTGCGGATGACTTGTCACACATGAACTAGTGGAAGACAAAGTGATCTGTCTCAGGCAGCTCAGATGGCCAGAGGCAAGCTATCCCTTCCACAATGACTAGTCACTCACCTTGTGCTTTCCTCTCCTTTTCACGCTTCCTGGCCACCTGGCTTCACCTCTTCATTTCCAGTATAAACAGAAGCCAACCAAGGAGCATCATCTCTATTGTAAGTGCTTGTAAAACCCACCCATTCAATAGGAGAAAAATAAATCTTCCACCATAGAAGTGATGTAACCCTCCCGTAGGATGTTTTAATAAGTTGCCAAGCTTCTGAGTAGCCCACTATCATCCAAACCAACATCCTACGAATGGAACAATCCCCACCTTTCTGCTGCACCTTACAGACTGTGTCTGTCATAAGAGATCAGCTGAGGAATGAGAGTCAGATTTTAGGAACTGCTTTAGGGGCTTCCCCGACTTTAAACTAAATAGTCTCAAAGTTGCCATTCCTGCTCCTACATTTTTAAACCAGCCAAAAGAGCTAGAAATTATTCACTTCAAGTAAATACCCTGCCATGGAGTGCTTGAGCCACACATTGGAAATTCCCCATTAGCCTCATTATTTGATCTTTGGAGGCTAGTAGTGGCCTAAAAGAGCTGTGGCCGTACTTATTAGAATGCCCTGAAGCACACAGCTGTAGGCAGGAAATGCTGTATTTTCAAAAATACTACGTGGCTTTATACCTGGGAGGCTGCTGCTGTTCTGAATGGAGCTGTCAAAATCTGTCAGTAGCCACAACATTTTAAAAACATGGGTTAGAAAAAGGCAAGAATCAAAAAACTTAAATCCAAGCAATAGTGCCGGTGTTGAAAGATGGGCCAACTGCATCCCTTGGCAACACCAATGGTCTCTTTCTAAATGCACTTCATTGTAGTTACAGCAGTGGTGTCTGGCCCAGGGCATTTTGCTGAGGGACTGCTAGCTAGATAAATAAACCAAAATAAACATCATACAAGCTTAGGGGATAGGAGGAAGTGCTGTATGATTTAGCTCATCTGTTCCTATGAGAGAACATATATTCAAGTAGGGGGAACTGCTTAATATCTAGCAATATGAACACCTTTGTTAACAGGGGTGCTTTCCCCCCACTCCTGCAAATGATTCAGCAAGATGTGCTTATTTTACATACAGGAGTAGCAGTGAGGCTGTTCTGATGAGTGAAGTTAAACGTGCTTAAGTGGTTGCAGGATCAGGGCCTGAGAGCCACACTGTAAACAGATATTCATTGTGAGTATCAGGGGCTTAGCTCTCAAAGGCGAACTCCTGCTGGAGACTGAAGATAGGGAGCATTTTGTTGGTCTGGGTAACAGGAATTTAAATTGATCACAACTGTGCAATGAGTAAATCTGCCTTTTTATCAAATTATGGCAGCATAGGTTATTCATCATATTTAATATATGCCACCAGGCACAGAGTGTGTCCAGAAAAGGGTTTACGAATTAGAATACCGATTGATAGGATACTCCTGAATGCAGCTGTAAATATATATATTTAATTAAATGGAGTGAAACTATTTAGAGAAGTCATTTGTGTTCCCTCTCCCCCATCAAAATCTGCCTTTGTGAAAATAAAAAACAATGCAAGTTTGTAACTTTGATAATTTTTCTAGGCAATGAGCTCTCTCCTTGAGGTATAAATGGCTGTATCTTAACTTCAGAACATGATCGCAGGGCGACTCAGCTGAAGGGAGAGGTATGGTGGCTCTGTATACTATTACAGCTATGGCAATGCAACACAAGCAATCTAAAAATCACTTTTTGCAGCCAATTCCTGTGATGCAGCTCTGAAATACAACCAACATGAACTCAGATTTCAAAAATTAAAAGGAACACTGCCAAGATTTCCCCCTTTCCACTTGTCTGTACAGTATAACGTCTTAATACTGAACATTGTTAAAACTGAAGTAAATGGACACACTGAATTTGCTTTTCCCCGGTTGTTCTTTCTGAATCTCTGCATGCAGTTTTTGCAATAAGTTTAGTTAAATCAGTGCAGTGCCCTACTGTGGAGGCAGTTATACCAGTATACAGGTGTTTCTAGCAGTACAGCTTGTTATACTAGCAAATGAAACAAGCTATGCTGGTATACGTACCTTTACTCTGATATAACTGCCACCAGACTAGAATTGCACTGATTTAGTTTAAATCACTGCATACGGTGTACAGACCCTTAGAGAGAGAAACCAGAATAGCAGTTTCTCTTTGTTTCCCTACATACTGAACTAATGTCTGTTCAATACAGAACACAGGGCAGGAATTTTTTAAAAGCATGAAATAAAATTTGAAATTCTTCATGTAGGGTTTTGTAACTTGTTTTCTCAGTCTAAACCAGGTTGACAGTGTCCCTTTAATTCATATTTCTTTCTGTTCAGGGGCAACTTGAAGGATGAGATGAAACATCACCCATCACAATTTACAGCCTGCTTGATTTTTTAAAACAATTGTTTCAACCTGATGGTTTTTCATGCATTCAAATCAGAGCAACCTCAGAGCTGGTACTATGCTGGGCTCAAACCACACAGGTGAAGATCCACAGCCACTGAGAAAGAACAGTCCAATCTAAAAAATAAATTAAAAATATTTTGAATTTTTTTTTTGTTCCCCATTATCTTCAACCAGCTTAAAGTAGTGCAATAGAACCTCACTAATTCACACGAATAACTGGGAGACCTCTGGCATATTGCTTCACCAACTTGCAAAATTCAAATAACGAAAGTTAAGCCAGGATGATGCATTGCAAACTGTTTGCTTGGTTCACTTTCGGTTAGAGTAGTAATTCAGCTTTTTCTTATACTTTATAATGCAATCAGTAAATGTACTGAAGGATACACAGCAAACAATAATGAAGTCTTGATAAGGGGACTGTACTGCCACTCTCCTTGCTGGGATGCAGGCAGAGCCTGCCATTTTCTGGGGTAATTATATAGTGTGGTTAGGAAGGTTCCATTGTAATCTACATAAAATATGTAAGAAACACCAACTTCTCCCAGAATAAGGCCACTAATTTTGCCATTGGCTACGGGCAGTGAAAAACAGCAGTTGAAAGAAGAAAATCCTCACTCTATCGTAGAGATCTTTTGAGGCAAGAAACATTGATGGGGGGAGGGAGGGGAAGCAGACACAACACACTAACACACTGTCCTTTCATTCTCCTCTTTCTTCTCCAATATGAATACAGGTACCTCCGCTTCCTGTAAGTGCTACTCCCCAGGGAGAAATTTCAGTCTATTTTCTTAGATGGGAGCCTAAGCAAATCCACACTATATTTAAAGACAGGGGCAGCACTGTAGAATAATATTACAAGTTTTCCATGAGCCATAGTCATGATAGTCTGATGTCCAGATGCCCAGATTCGATACCAGGGCCCATAGAAAGGATCTGAGATGGCTGGGCATAACATGTTGTTCAAATTCACTTCCGTGACCTGGGGAAAGGGACAATAACAAGTTTATAAAATCAATCTTATATTGTGCTGTATTGACACAGAAACCTAAAATGGGGATTTCTTAACTCCCCTAAAAATCAAAGTAATCAAGTTAATATGTTGGCAACTCTCACTCACCTAAAGAAAAGGAGTACTTGTGGCACCTTAGAGACTAACCAATTTATTTGAGCGTGAGCTTTCGTGAGCTACAGCTCACTTCATCGGATGCACTCACTCACCTATTTATTCAGTACACGGTCAGATTTTCAGAAGTAAGGCAAGCAGTTGTGCACTTAATGTGTATGCAACTGCATGTCTAATTTAGGCATAGTAAAATGTGTTTGTGTGAATAAGTAGCCATTAGCATGTGCAATTGCCCAATTTGAGCACATAATTGCCCCAGCACTTAAACACTTTGAAACTTTGGCCCAAATGTTTACTTTATGAGTAGTCACTTACCAGTCCCAGAATCTGTAAGATGCTAAAATGATAGACAAACATCATCCCAGTGGATAACAGAGCCCACCAGAAATTGGAAAGTGGCTCTGCTGTGTAGATACCTTCCAAAAAAAAAAAAAAAAAGAAAAGAAAAAAGTATTAATATTTAACTGAATTACTATGATTCCACCTAGTAACTAACTTTCATGATCGTGAATACTTGAGAGACCCTTGTTTTTCACCTGAAATATTATCTTTTCCCTTCTTCTGATCCAGTGTTTGGGGCTAGATGTATTTTAATTTTAGCATTAAACACTATACAAGACATTAACTCTCACTAATCCTGCTTGTTTTCCACTGAAACAAACAGGGAGTGTTAATTTTACTCCATAAATATACAGTCTGATTTTCAGAGGTGCTTCAGTCAAGATATTCAAGTATTATACCCATCAGAAGCAGGTGTTATCACTTTGCACAGCTCATTCTGCAGAGTGAATATGTATGCAAGTACTTACAACACTCTCTCACTGATGTTCAAGGAGGAACAACTCTCCTAAATCAACCCTGCACACCTAAATTGTAGCATTCCTTCCAGCAGGTTTGGATTTTGAGCTGGCAGCTACCAAATCCTGGGGACCAACCTTCCCTTGGATGGCCCAGAGGAAGGAAGGATTTATGGTGGGGTCCCATCCCCTTGGTTCACATTTTATTAGGACTTGTTCTCACCTGAAGCCAAAGATTGGTGCTGCAGTTCAGTTCCTCTGTCAACTCTACAGTTACATTTTATTTGTCCCTTTTGAGCCTATGGTCACTCTTTCCCTAGAGGTCAGCATCTGTCATCTCAGTAAGTCCAGCAGAGCTGGCAAGAGAGGTGTGTTCTCCTGTCAGAAACTGTTTCTAACCCTCAACAGACAAAGAAGCTCTTCGAACCACCTGGGGTCGATATTCTCAGGATTTAGGGTCTTCCTCATCCATCAATCAGGAAATTGCCTTCCAAAGCTTTTTCCCTTTCAAATTCACCCAGGAGAGATTTTAGCATAATTTGGATGCAGTTAGAGTCCTTAACTTCTGTTTACACAGAACTCATTTCTTCAGACTACTAGCCTCCTTATTTGTGGCCTGGGAGGGTCTCTGAATAGATTGCCACGGACTGAGTGGGTAGGGGCTCCGTGGAGGAGCTGTTTATGGCCAGCACCGGGTAATCCTTCCATACCTCTCCATGGTGTTATCGGCAAGCAGGGACAGAGCGCTGGAAGTAAACAAAGGCCTCTCCTTCCCATGCTGGGGATTCAGTGGGAGCAGAAAGGAAATTTTCCTGTGTGTAAGTGGGGTTTCTTTGACAACGCATTCTACAATCCAGAATGCCCCCGTCCCCAGGACAGACACAAAGCAGAAGCTGCAAGGCTGGCCGTGTTATGTGATCGTGCCTTGTCTGCCACAGTGAACAGGATCACAATGAGAGTGAACAAAAGATGAAGAGACACACACACACACACCAATTTCTACATCACTAGAATGGTGTATTCTTAAAAATATCCTGGTGCTGGTGAAAAGTTCCAAAATGGAACTGGAGTTCTACATTTATGGTCTCACTCACGCTACAGCTGCTTGGGCTGAACCTGTGTAACTGTTCCCTATGCCACACCATTAATTTTCCTGTTCTGAAAGACCACTTTGACAGGCATGGCCGTGGGATGAGCATCAGTCAATGCCACAATACTTCAGACTGTCGCTTTTTGATGCTACAACCAACTCAGTTCACATAAGCTAAACAGCCATTAGGTAATGGGCTAGGCTGAAAACCGATGACCTTGAAGTGAAAGGCTCACTGTCCCCATTATCAAACTCCTGCACCTTTCTAATATGCTTCCGAGTCCAATAAACTATTATTTTGCTGCACATGTAACCTATTTTCCAAGGTCATAATCCACATAATCAAACTGATACAAACTTCTGCCCAAGGTATACAGATAGATTATAGGCCGATTACTGCATATTGCTAAAGATCAGTGATCACAGATCAAGCCACATGAGATATTGTTACAGCAGAAGACAACCTGTGATGGAGTCAAAAAGTGTTTCAACCAGATCTGTTTGTGAGATGGGCAGAATATTAACAGGAAATCATTTTCTAGCATCGGTTCTACAGACGTTAGGTCATTCTTGTAGCTGTTCTATCTGTGCTGGACCTCACCAAGTTTGTAAAGAATTTAAGTTTTCCCAAGAATAGACATATTATAGATTTGGCAAGAACCAGTCTCCGGGGACACAATTACTGTACAATAGTTCAATGTCGTGTTAACGGGGTATTAATCGATCAGGTAAAAAGGGTTCTACCACAGGGGCCAACTGTAAAACAAGCTGGAACCAACTGGCTTCACAGCCTCAGCCAAGGGTGATTACAAAAGATGTCTGATAGCCAGCAGAAAGTGCCAGGCTGGAAGTTCACTGCTCTCACAACAACATTAGATGGCAGCAGATAGCTGTAAACTGATAAATAGCAAAAAGAAAAGGAGGACTTGTGGCACCTTAGCGACTAACAAATTTATTTGAGCATAAGCTTTCATGAGCTTCACTTCATCGGATGCATTCAGTGGAAAATACAGTGGGGAGATTTATGTACACAGAGAACATGAAACAATGGGTGTTACCATACACACTGTAACGAGCGTGATCACTTAGCAGCGAGCCAGAACAATGCCACAGATATGGTAGAGGTGGAGAAGACTTACTACACTGAGCCATTCCCGTTGCAGGACACAGTCCCAATGGAGGATAAACCCATACAAAATACTCCAGAAATTAATCACTAAAAGGGAGCCTCCAAGAGACACACTTAGGCAATGCCTCAAAGCAAAACAAATATGGAATTACATGGGCTAAAGTATATATGATAAGGCTACAAAATCTCCAGTGAGATCAATTCCAGTGAGATCAAAACACAAGACGGAAACATCAGAAACTTGGAAATATCTCAAGTCCCAAGGTGGAAGTACAGCAGAGTTTGGTTTAGCTTCTTATGTACTACGTAGAATATATGCAAATAAAACATCTTGTTTTCCATTCTCTAGTGCATTAATTAGAAGTCTGTAACATTCCCAATTTTATGGCTCATTGAGACATTACATAAATGAATGTTAATCCTGTGCAGTAACTGGAATTCTTCAGGATGTACGTCCCTGTTGTGCTCCACTTCAGATGTGCATGCATCCCATGCACCTTTAATCAGTGATTTTCGTTAGCAGCGCCCATTCAGCCTACACACGTGCCCTGCACTTCCTTCTCCACTGCAAAGTCCCACAGAGGAAACCCCGAAGCAGAGAGGAAGGAGGGCTGGCAGTGGAGCACCCATTAAGGGGCACATCTTGAAGAACTCATTGCACAGGGTGAGTAACCTCTCCTTCTTGAGCAGCACCACAGAGGTAGAAAGAGATCTTGTAGAATGGAGGTTGTATATTGGTAGATTGATAACAGGAAGTGATACAATCAGAAATCCACCTACAGAGTCTCCGGATGGAGATTGTATACCTTTTATATATCCATCAGCAATTGACACGAATGGTGTGGGAGATTTCCTAATTCAGGCAGAAGGCTAATACCCTCCTGACTGTGTGTGTGTGTGTGTGTGTGTGTGTGTGTGTGTAAACCCGCATCCCCCCCTGGTCTGCGGGGGAAAATAAACTATCAGCTGACAATGCAAGCTTGGCCAACTGAAGCGGACACGCTGAATTCTCTGTTTCAAGCCCAGGCAGTTGACAAGGAACTGAGGGTGGTTTGCCCGCACAGCCCTATATAGCCTTGACAGGGGGCACAAGGACAAGTAGGGTGCACGTGTGGGCTGAATGGGTTCTGCTACCGAAAATCTCTGATCGAAGGCACATGAGCACCAGAAGGAGAGCACCCATAGGGACGCTACTTGAAGAAGAACTAAAGTACCTTGTTAGGAGGAGCTATCCCTGATTATCATCAAGCTATCCCTGATTCACCAATACCTTGCACTAGATTTTCTCCAAAGCTTCACAGTTAAACAACATGCTTTACACAGACTGATTCATAATCACCTGGGGAGCTAGTTCTACAAGAGAAACCTTCCCTGTTCATTAAGAACAGCAGTTCTCCCCAGGTACTCCATGCTTGGAGGCATCCAAGATGACGATATTCATAGGCAGAAGTTTAAATCGTTTTGTTTTCTTCAAGTTTTCAAATTAAAAACAAAAACAAAAAACTCCTGCAATCAAGTGCATTTTAATCACAAACCTTGGTCAAAAAGGTAAGAAAACATAATCAAGTGTCTTTGAAGTCACAAGGTGGCAAAGATGTCTGTTAGGAAGAGAACATGTTTGGATGATGCACACTTGTAAGCTCTTTGGGGCATTAAATGTCTTTTGGTTCTGTGTTTGTACAGCACCTAGCACAATGGGGTGCTGGGCCATACCCAGGGCTTCTTGAGGCACTACCTCAAAACAAATAATAAACAGCAATAATAATACTGGTGTGCTAATGGCAGGTAAAGCAAAGTGTTGTCTTAGAAGAACTGGGAGACATAATGAAACAGGTTGTGCTTAATTAGTTAACTACAACCTATCAGATATCAGTAGGGTAATATGGCTCAGACTGATTGCAGGCCTACCTCCTTTCCGCAGCAGATAGATGGGCACAACATAGAGCATCACATGCTGGATGTAATAAATTTCCACCTCAAAGGGAAGCTGAGGAAATAAGGAAAACATTAATAAGCATTTTTCATGATTAACAAAGCATCTTTTGTGAGCACAAACTATGTTGCAAACTATCCATACACAGCATAGGGATCATTTCTTTTCTGGCTCCACCAAAATGCAGACACTTGCAGGCTAGAAGGCAAAAGCAATTATAACAAGAGTAACATCACTGCTTAGCAGGTTAGGTCAGGAAGGGAAGAATACCTTTTCCTAGTGAAATCATGGAGAAAGTTAGGAAGACAATGCAATTATCTGTGTTGGAAGTCCCTGTAATAAACAAACCACCTTTATTTACTTGGCATCTCATTAACCTGGGACAGTGGTTCAACACTAACTCAGAGAGTGTTACAGAGTGGTGTTAAAAATCAACCATCCCTACCTCAGCTAAATCATTGTGTGGTATTTCTGACCAAATTCCAACTGAATTGTCAGCCATCACATCCTAAAGCCACACTGCAATTCCTTGCAATTACAATGTTTTGCCATTTACCTGTGTTAATGAAGGGGTGGCAAATGTATTAACCCTTGGCACTGGCAGTCTAGATTTTCCAATAGCAAATACAAAAACAAAACAGCGTAATACTTGCAGGCAGGCAACCCTGACAAGGACAGGCAGGGAGAAAGACAAAAGAGGAACTAGCTGAGCCAGTTTTCTGCTCTTCCTCAGTAAATTGCTTCTGTCCAATTACCAGCAGTGTAAGGTACAAAACCTCAATGCTATTCAAAGATAAGGAAGTAAAACTCACCGCAAGGAATGAGAGCACAGACAAAAAAAACCCCCACAACCAAATTGTAAGTCTGTCCAAAAAAAGTGAAGGAAAGGCCCACTTTATAGACAAGATATTTTAGAATACATAGAAAAAATAAAACTGTACCCTCCTAGAGAGCCACTATACTTGTAAACTTCAAACCACCAGATTTGGGTAAAATACAGCAACTATGCATTAATGCGCAATTGTGCCAGTCTGCTCTTAAAAATCAAGAAAATTCACAGGGAGAAGCACAAGTCTGAATCTTAACATTGCTTGAGAGATGTGGAAAGGAAATTCCCAGCACTTCAAATTCAAAATTTGTGGGAGGAAGACAGAGAGGAGTTGGACTCAAATACCAGGATCCATAACAGCCTCCATAGTTACGAGTTCTGGTTCACTTCCAAGGTCAAATATACCTGTTTTTCTGCTCTAGTTCAGGTGTGAAAATTGGACAATAATTTACCACATTTTAGGCTGAAATCTCACAAGAACAGCTCAGCAAAATGTATACCATCCAACGCAAACCCAGTCATTGGCCTTGGCTCAATCTCAGACCCAAACCATAACCTAATGCTAATCCAGATCCAAACCCCGCTGTTGTGGGCCCATCTGTTTTAGTAAACAGAGTAACTGGTAGAAAGGGGAAGCCTCCCCTGAAACACAGCTTGCCCTGACATGGCATTGTGCAGCATAACAATTTCTAAGTCATCCAGTGCCAATGCATTAAACACAGAGTTATGGATTCACTAAAGAGGGATAAGTGAAGAGAGAGGCTGGCCTGAGAATGAAACTGTTTAAAATAAGAGTTCATAGCAGCAGGGAGACAGGATAGGAATCTATTGGCAAAAATCTTATTTGCACAAAATATTTTCTTTTAATCATACTCCAGCGTAAGAATCTCCTTAAATAGGCAACTCTGCTAGCCCTGATTCACAATGGCTGACTATGCTCAGCCCTACCAGTGTCCTGACTGCAAACTCCAGGATGTTCATCCAACTGTTAGGGAAGTGAATTATAAACATTCCATACAAATTATTTTTTTAAAACAGATTGTTCAAATATTCTGTAATAAAAATATTAAACAATAGAGCAATATTCTGCAAAGGGAAAGCATTGCAAGAACCCTTGGAAGTTTTCTGAATCCTAACTCTTTCTTCTCTCTTCTGGGTTATTTCCTGAAAGACACTGCTGTAAGGGGAGCAAATCAGAGATCAATCAACTTGAAAGGAGCTTAAAATGGCTTTAGCAAATGGAAAAGGATTTGTAGCTCTGCCACTTGAACAGCCTGAGAATCAGAAATAATAGTTCCAGATATAAACATGCAACATTTGCTCCTGCTGAGAAGCCTTCTCCATCCATTGTCTGTGGTTTCATAAGGACTTTTGCACTAGTTGAGTCAACGTGAGGGTCAGTTATACAAACTCCACACTCAGGACACACTTGAGAGCAGAGGACAGTTTGTTTTGTTGCAACAGTGTTGACAGTTTTTATTGTGTTAAACAAAATGACATTTTCATGCCATGAAAGATTGTTTGTTCTAAGGTCTGACTAGTTATACAAGAGCATTTCCTGGTGTGGAGTAGACAACACTGACTTCCTTTCTACACAGTAAGGCATTTAAATGCCAAAAAACAGACTCACACTGTACAGCCAGGCTACAACAAAGAGAAAGAACAAAACAAACAGGAGAGGAATTGTAAAGCTGTACAGAACAACTGACTCACCCCACTGCTAGGATTTAGCAAGTGTTTGCTTTGGGTGTGTTGCCTGCTCCATGAAACACTTAGGCATTTGTATGTGCACCAAGAACTAAGATGGTGACACACTTACTAGTGCCTAGTAAGTGCAGAGAGCACAGAATGGGTTACCTGCCAATCCAGGATTTAAGGAATTCTGCAGGTAACCTCTATTCACAACAGAATATTTACCGTGCCCATTTTATAACTCAAAGGGAAGGCAGCACTGCTGAGGTGTCCTGCCCACAAACTGAGACGGGTGATGAACACTCTTTGCTTGAGTTACTTTGGCTCTGAAATGCGAACATGAACATAAAGCATGGTAAGCAACTGCAAGCCAAAGGTCCAAGGTCCCTAAACCCAGACCTAACAAGCTGAAAGGGGACCACCGCTAAGGGTGCCAGGCCCCCGTGGGTTTCTCTTCTCACTGAGGGAAGCAAAGCCAGACCTCCTGAGGATGGTGTTAACTTCAAAGAGCAAAGATGTCCCTGGCAATGGGCAAAGGAGAGGCCCAGGCCACTGTCCCTGGCCACATATCCACCTCCCATCCCCTGGGAGCTTCACACGCTCTGGTGACTGAGGCAGGCTGGACATTATGTTCTGGCTGCCTGTCCCAAACTGCCATCTCCTTGCAGTTACCACCAGCATCGCTCTCCCTGTCTCCCAGGGGCAATATTAAGAAAGGGATAGCTAGCCTCCATGTCAGGAAATCTTTCCCGACAGTAAAGTCTTCAGAGCAGGCTCCTGAGAAAGCAGCAGAAACCCAACTGCCTGGGAAAGTTAAAACTAAGCTGGGCAAGACAGACAGAATACTATAGGAAGCAATCCTGCATTGACAGGGAGATGAACTCGATGACCGAGTAGGTCCTCTCCATCTAATTTCTATTCTCCGGTGTGCTTCTGCACTCTGACTTGGCATTTACCTCTTTTGACACCCTTTTAGCACTGATGCATCACAGTTAATGCCATTTCTGAAAATAGGACAGAACATGAGACATTTTTACCTTCTGAATGTACAGGTGGTTCTCCTAGGATTACTGTGTGAGAGCTACACACGAGGTCAGAGGAGGTGAACACAGTTCCCAAATGCTGGTTGTTGCACAATGTACTATAGCAGCTCAGAGACACAGAACAACTTAATATAAAAAGGCCTGAGTCACCACGAGACAGGACCACTAGCCATGGAAAAAATAACATACTTGAAATGGCTATGGGAAGAGACTCTCCAAACTTGATTCCTTTTCTTAGAACACTCAAACAAGCAAAGATCCAAGACAGGTATAGATGGATGAACTGTCGTGTTCTTCTGCTAGTAGATATTTCATCCCTCTCCAACCATCTATCCCAGGTCCCCATAATTGTTAAAATGGGAGCAAACCACAGTCCACACATTACTCAAATAACCAATAAAACTTCTCTCCTTTTAAAGATTACTGGCTTTGTTGCTTGTGGTTTCAATATTAAAACATATGGATATTGTGGAATTCAGAAATGTCTTGGGAAATGTATTGTCTACCCACAGAATTTTTAACATGGATATAAAATTATGTATTGTTTGTTTTACAACAAATTGCAACACACACACACACCCTCTGCATCAAACTAACCCATGATCAAAATATGCTGATGTGGAGCTTTGGAAAATTTACTTTCGAACTATTCAAGTTTTACATTTTCTAGTAAAGTTTACTTTAGAACAGATTTGGCATTTTGTTTTTTCAGCAAAGAGCATAAATGATAATGCCACATCTGCGGCTTGTCCCTAACACCAGCCCAGAATGATGCAGATTCAATGTAGCCCTCCCCAGGACACATGCTAAGGGGTATTCTGGGTAGCTTCCAAAAATAGAGAGCACATTACAAGAAGTCTTGCAGCTCTCATCCCCAAAAAGGGTAGGCTATGGCCGACGAGTGAATTTTCTACTTCATCTGAATGCATGGCAGCCTTGTTACTGCTCATGAGTCCGTGGAAAGGAGAAGTGCATGATGCATGGAATATTGAAGGATGGTCTCTCATCTATGCTCATCTTAGATTCCCATCAGATTTACACAGTGGTATAGCAAAAAGAGGAGTTACTGGCATGGAGGGCAGTCTTCTATGCACACAAGTTCTTGTAGCCCTTAAGCAGGCTGGCTATAGCCCTAATGAAGTAATTTGATGAAGTCTTTCTATTAACTACGTTAGGCTTTGGAATCAGCCCTTACTGCAGGAACCTTGGACATCTGAGCTCCTATCTATTGGTTTAGTGATGGCTATGAATGGCTTTTTCTATAGTGAAGAAACAGTTGTCAAATATTCAGGACAACCGCCGTATAAGATTGTTTATATTTACACTGCAAAAAACAAACAAACCAAACCACATGCAGCAAGTCTCAGAACACAGGTCTACAGACTTAGGCTTGTGCTATGGGGCTAAAAATAGCAATGTAGATGTTCCCACACCGCTGGTGATTGGGCTCCGAGACTCACCCCCCCCCTTGCTCCAGCTTGAGTAAGAAC